TGCACATCCTCGACTTGACCCGAATCTAGTGGTATCTAGATCGTAGATCGATCTTTGAGAACCACTGAACTCCCTGTAGCTGGTCCAGTAACTCATCAATCCTCGACAATGGGTATCGATTCTTGATGGTTACCTGGTTCAATCCTCGGTAGTCGATGCACAGTCTCATGCTACCATCCTTCGTCCTCACGAATAACACGGGTGCTCCCCAAGGTGAAACACTAGGGCGGATGAATTCTTTCTCCATCAATTCATTTAATTGCTCCTCCAGCTCTGTCATCTCTGTCAGCGCCATCCGGTACAGAGCCTTAGTGATGGGCTCTATGTCCGATAGCACCTCAATGATGAAGTACACTTCCCGGCTTGGTGGCAATCCCAGAAGATCATCCGAAAAAACATCCGGGAAGTCTCTAACAACCGGAGTGTCCTCCAGTTTGTTATCTGAATCCTTAGCAATAGTAAGGACCATCAGGTAATCCTCACGTCCCTTTCGAATCATCTTTTCGGCCTTAAACGTCGATATCACAGGATTCATCGGTGATGCTCCTTTTCCTCTGAACTCAAATCCCCCGTGGGCATCTGCAAATCAAATGGTTCTGCTGGCAGTCAATCTGAGTTTGATACTTGGACAACCAATCCATATCCAGTATGAAACGTCTCTGAGGACTGCGGTTGTGAATCCGATCCTCCTCTTCCTTTTCTCCCCGCTCCGCCTTCTGTAGTCACAAACTCATGGAGCACGATCTTTCTTCGGAGGTATGGTCGTAATCCGGCGAGGAACTTCTGGATCTTCATCTTCTCAGTATGCACTGGGTGTCCTGCATAGTTCAACTGTCATGTTTTCTTGTTGTAGTTGTAAGAACTCATCAAGGCGGTGCTCCTGATCTTGACTTCGATAGTACTTATGCTCGAATTTTAGCTTGAATTAATCCTAGGAAAAGCGGTGTCCCACAGGCATCTCTTGCACCACCTTATCCCACCAGTGTCGGGCATGTCCTGATAGATGATGGCTCGCTATCGTAGCTCGACAGCGCATGGGGCATTGAACATACTCCAAGTCTCGGGTGATGGTTACTAGCCATTCCTCTGCCACCTCTTGGTTCACTGAACCCTCAAAACGTGGAGTGTGCATTGCCCGTAGCTCCCGAATGATAGGAAGATAACCCCCGACTACTTCCTCCGCGGGTGGTGGCGGAGGTAAGTCCTCTCTCCTCGACTATGGAACTTCTGCTGGTGGTGGAGGTGGGATGTGCACCTTCAGCTGCTGCCACATGGCCTCCTGGAATGTACAAAGCTGATTTCTCATTTTGTTCCTTATCTCGTTCCTCATCTCCTCCTGGAGGCACATAACTCATTGACCTATGGCGCATGGTTGTTAACCTCATTGTCTCCCGTGGTTGATTGAGCACGTCGTGGTAGTGTCATGTCTCTTACACTGCACCACACCATAATAATTTGGCGGTTAACGACTGGTAATCATACCATCATGTACGAATCTTTTGTTAAAGTACTTTACTTTGACATGGTTTAAAAAACATTTTAAAATAGTTATAGCGTCCGTTCTTTCCTATGGAATGAACGTCGCTCTGATACCAAAAGTTGTGACACCCGTAATCCGCCTTCCGTGACTAGGTTGTACGACATGGATAATAAAGACAAAATAATACGGAAGACAAAATATCACACTTTTAAAACATTTTTATAAAGAGCATGCAGCGGAATAGTTTACACACGTTGGAAAATACACATGTCTGAGATATAATTATACATATTATACACGTGGGACTAAAGTCCCCAAACCAATCTATTTCATCCATACATAGGCTGTTGCTCACAAGTCGTCGTCACGTTGCTATTCGTGCTCCTCGGGATCTGAAAAATATTAGAACAACGAGGGCTAAACAAAACTGCTTAGTGAGTAATCCGGGTTGGACCCGGTGATCCTGCTCTCACAGAGAAACGATATCAATTAATATTCATAAACATATCTATAAGTCTCACATAAGAGCAAACAAATCACACAAACGTCCAAATAACTATGCCATTTGAACTATCCATCAAATCCTCGTCAACTTGACCGTGTTGAATCGTTCATCCACTGACACTGATCACGTGACGCGCCAGATCTTTCAATGGTATGGTACCAACTTAGTCGTCACCGGTACCAATACAAGCCCTTCCTTACGTAACACTACTGACAAAGTCGTCACCGACACTGTCTACGAGGTTCCTCAGACCCAATACACATCAACATTGACTCAGTCGTCCACCGATGTTGACTACGTGCTCATTGTATCTCTGACCAGCATAGCAATACTGACTCAGTCATCTACCGGTATCTACTATGTAACCTCAGTATCGTACGTCACTGACTTTTTTGTCTATCCGTACCCGTATGATACTCGCACACAATTTTTCCAGTAGTGACTCTTTCATCTACCTATACTGGACCCATAAACTCCACACAGTACTGATTCATTCGTCAATCGGTACCGTAACCAATACTGACTCGTTCATCAACCTGTATTGGTTCCAAATCTTTTCAATACTGACTCAGTCGTCAATCGGTATTGGTCATCACCTCCCAAGTATTGACTCGTTCGTCAACCGGTACTGGTTAGGTGTTCCTCTCCATCGTACTAGTACTGACTCGTTCGTCCATTTGTTCAATGTTCGTTGGTCATCGGTCGTTCCTTGTTGCACTGCGATTACAATCGAGGCCACACACGAGTAAGGCACAAGCATAACACTCTGTGTCGTTTCTACCAAATTATTCCCATGTCTCACATTGTACACTCTATATGTCTATTCAGGTAATACTTGTAAGTTTCCTTGATTCCACATCATTCATGTCTTATTTTATTTTTTGGTCCCTTTGGCGGGTCTCGGTTAATGATAACACGTATTTCGGGTGATGTTTTGATATAGGATGCCTAACGTATTTCATTTGGTTTTACATATTTGTAGGCATTGTAGGGCACATTTGGCTTCGATATTGCATGGTTGTGTTCTTTGGTGTTTAAACAGGTTTTCATACATAAAAAGAGCAAAAGGAGTGGAAAACATGGGCTACGGAACATGACGAAATGGGAACATTTGGAGTGTCTCCAGGGAAAACGTGAAGTTCAGAAAATGTCAGACCTTACAAGTCCAATAACTTTTACTCTACAAGTCGAAATCATGCATTCTCTATATCATTGGAAAGCTCTCTTGGATATCTACGCATAGATGCTAAGATCACCAAATCCGATGTCGGAACAAAAAGTTATGAGCGAATTTGTGAAGCCCGTCAAAACTGCTAAGTGATACGATCGTGTCACTTTCAGCCACACGATCGTGTCACTTACCAGATTTTGGAAATATTCTGAATTTTTGCCCAGAAAAAGAAGGGTTAACTAGGGTTAGCCCCCAAGGTCGAAAACATTCATACTTCTGACAGAAAACACACCCTAGAGCATACAAAAAGAGGGAGATTATCAAGAGGAAAGAGATCGGAGTAGAAGACGGAGATTATGAAGTCGGGAAATCGACTAAGCATTCTTCCTTTATTCTATTTTACGATGTTTTGTTGTATTGATATGAACCCCGACGTCTCGATGATTAGCGAGTAGATCCATAGCTATAGGTTAGGAATTTGCTATGTAGGGATCTTTGGTTTTTAATTCCAGACTTTTTGGATTTGTCTATTCTATTCAGTTTATTGAATTGTTCTTAATGCGTTTGATCTTGTTGGGCGCTTGATTAAATGATCTTAGGGTTTTAATTCCATAGACATATGAGATTATAACCTGGAAATAATTCAATAAATAGAACAAATATCACATCGGGAGATGGGTATTTGCCTAGGAATCATGATAGCATTCGTTCATGCATCCATAGTTTTAGACTATTGAATCGGGAGATTGGTAGGATTAAACCTGGATAGTGAGATTAGACTTGGGAGAGTTAATCTCTATCTTAGAGCTTGAATTCCCTGGATTGGATAGATAAACCACTAAGTTTGCATCTTTTGAAAGATCCTTGCATGTAAAGCAATCCCGAAGCCTGCAGTGATCATCATTCATAGTTTACAGCCGTTTTATCGTTTGTTTTGCTACACTCTTACACTCATTATCTTCTCTGGATCTAGATTTAGGTTTGGATTTGATTTCTTTGTCTATTTCTGTCCCTCTGTTCAACCCTAGTTTCTACAATTGAACCGTACACTTGCGGTATTTGTTGAATCTAGGATATTATTACTTGATCGAATTTCTACACCTAGATTTGCGACATCAAGTTTTTGGCGCCGTTGCCGGGGATAATTTAGGCAATAGGATTAGATCCTACAACCGAGATCTTGCTTTTCCTGATGGTGTCGAGGGCAATGCTGACTCAACCTTTGCCCAGTACAACACGCCTAAGCACACTGAGCTTTTGGCTGGTAATCGACTACCGGGCATCGACATGTCTAGTTTCGAGCTGAACCCGTCTACTATTCAGATGTTGGGCAATAATGCTTTCCGGGGTAGACCGAACGAAGACCCAAACGCACATCTAACTCGCTTTAAGATGATGTGTCGTTCTATCAAGAGAGAGAGATAACAGAGTGACAGAGAACGCACATCTAACTCGCTTTCCCCTGGACTCTCTTGGATGCTGCTTTGGAATGGTGTTACAATCTGACACCCGATTCCATCCACACCTGGGAACAGCTGGAAGTGCAGTTTATGTCAAAAATTTTCCCAGCTCACCGCACTCAAGTAGCTCTTTCTGGCATTCATTCATTCAAGCAAGATCATGGGGAAAACCTTTATAACGGGCTTGACAAGAACTACCTGATCAACACCTTCTTACCAGGACTCAGAATGGATACCAATACTTTGATCCGAGCTTCTTGCGGTGGGAGCATCCAGAACAAGTCATTCGCCGAGCTAGAAGAACATATTGAGATGATGGCCTAACAAGAAGACGCTTCGAACGAGTACTCTAGAGATCTGCCAAGGGAATGCAATGATCAGACCATGCAGATGGTTCTCGAACAATTAGCTGTCCTCAATGCTAAGTTTGAAGATTCCAAGAATTTGACACCAACACAAAAGGAGCTCGGTATGTACGCATTGGATGAGAGACCTTCTGGAACAGACAGTCCGTTCTGGACCGTCGGGTCTGAACCTGGCGGACCGTCCGTTCTGGACTTCTGGTCCATCCGTTCCAGACCCTTCCGTCTTGGTTTTTCCGTCGTTTTCTCGTGCGTTTTGTCCTTCCCTGCGTGTGTGACCCTGTAGGCTCATTCGACATAGCAGTATAACCCGAAATCTCTATTTCGGATATACAAGTCATAGGCGGTCTCTAGCAAGACACTATGACTACCTATCTCGAATAGAGTTTGTTCGTGATCTTACGAACGCCAGTGATGATTCCGGCTGGTGATCCTTTTGCATCACGATATCATATGTCGAACATAAGGCATGGACAAGCCACCTTATCTGATTCAACTGCTTTCTCGTTCACTGAGTTTGACTGTCTGAAATAGACGACGTTCGTCTATAGTGCGGCCACACATTTCTATAGTCTCGCTCACACGAGGGGCCCAGCGATATCTCTCTCTTTTACGAGAGGTACAAATCCCATCTTGACTATCTACAATCCATCACATGATTCGTTTCGTACCTGATACACGCCTTTATAGTCCTGCTGTTACGCAAGACGTTTGACGTATTCAAAGCACGCAACTCCTCATGTTGGATTCCGTAGATATCTCAGGTCTTAGGATCCAATCATGGAACCACCATATGAGATTCAAGTCATGACGCTAGTCCATGTGACAATCTCATGCGGGTCAATCCAGTATTCCGTTCTCCAACGAATACCTATGACTGTGATCGTATCCAATACATATGATCATCTATATGATCATCAATCACACACCATACTAGTCTTAGTATATCATTATTCCCACAATGATACATGACTAGGGAGTTTAGTATTGTTCATAACAATACATGGATTTCATAACATATTAAAGCATGCACAATACATAATGAGTCAAACACTAATCCATAAAACCATAGAAAGTATCAATACATCAAATGTATCATAATAAAGCTCGCATAACAGTACATCATAGAGCATTAAACCAACACGAAGAGTGAAGGTTTCCACATTAGAATGGCGAGATCTGAGAATTGGAGGTTTGAATCTGTGTGTAGTCATGAAGGTTGTTCGTGGAGATTGTACTGTTCAATCGAGAATTGGAGGCTTATTCACTAACCCACAATCGCGACCCAAAGGGACATGCAAGGTTGTTTACAATTAAGCGAATAGCAAAAATCTTTGCTGATGATTTAAAGACGAAAAAAGCTTTTACAGCAAAGGATATGCAACATGACTGCAGACGTCGTTTCAATCTGACATTTAGTAAGTTTAAGTGTTTTAAGGCTCGACAAATGGGTATGAAAGATAGTGAAAGAGGAGCAAAAAGTGCAATTTGGAAAGTTGTGGGACTACGAGGCAGAAATTCATCGGTCTAATCCTAATTCTTCGACGGAGATTAAACAGTGCCTGATAAAGATGACTCTAGCCAACAACTATTCGACAGATTCTATATCTGTTTTGATGTACTGCGTGAGAGTTGGAGAAGATATTGTCGGCCAGTCATCAGGTTGAATGTTGTTTTCTGAAATGGAAAATGAAAGGTGGGTTGCTTGCAGCTGTAGGGAGAGATGTGAATAATCACATTTATCCTATCGTGTGAGCTGTGGTACGAGGCGAGACAACCGAGACATGGTCATGGTTTATTACAAAACTGAGAGCTGATTTAAGGCTCGGAGATGGAAGCAACTTGACAATACTTTCTGATAAACAAAAGGTAAAATCAACATTATGTTAACAGATGATTGCACATCTTTTCGGGATTAACAAATTATGGTATTTCTCATTGGTGCAGGGTATAATCAATGCCATTACCAACACTCTACCTGACGCAGAACATCAGATGTGTTCCAGGCATATATATGCCAACTGGAAAAAGGTTTAGGTGAGTACAAGAACCTTTTCTGGAGTTTAGCAAATGCGTTTCATGAAGGTGAGTACTTCGCAAGTTTGGAAAGGTTGAGGCACTACAATCGAATGGCGTATGAGTTACTGCTGCGCAAAGAGCATGAACAATGGGCACTTGCCTTCTTCAAATCCGAATCACAGTGTCTAGATATCAACAATAATCTATCTGAAAGTTTAAACAACACAATACGTGAGGCTCGATTGCGGCCTATTGTCGACATGCTTGAAGACATTTATCGGCAAACCATGCGAAGGATTGCACATAAGGCTAAATATGTCAACAAGTATGGTAGACAATTCAGTCCTCATGCTATGACTGAATTGGGGAAATTCTGAGAGCTATCATGTCATTGCACTGTGATCATAAGCACTCGTAGCCAATATGAGGTCTTGGAGGATGGCATGAATTACGTTGTAGACCTTGCTGGGAAATGTTGTGGATGTCAAAAGTGGGATTTGAATGGCATTCTATGTCAACATGCACTCTGTGTTATCAATGAGCAACAAGTTGATATTAACGCGTACGTATTCTCTCTTATTTATCTTATTTAATCATTCAACTTAGCAAAACTACCTGTTAATAGGCAAAATATCCAAAATACCCTCGTTATGCTAAAACTACTTCTACACATACCCTTCTTCAGTTGTGACCTTGTGACCACAATAATTGTATGGTCACATGATGGTCACATTGGTCACAACGTTAAATTTTTGATGATTTTACCAAATGATTAGTATGATATGTAAGGTGTGATCACGGTGCTTTGATGTAATCACCATAAATTTAACATTATGACCAATATGACCATCATGTGACTATACCTGAATTCTGGTCACAAGGTCACAACTGGAGAAGGGTATGTGTAGAAGTAGTTTTAGCAAAAGGAGGGTATTTTGGATAATGCCCCCTGTTAATACCATTACTTTTGTTCGACAGGTATGTGTCGGAGTATTTTCCACTGCAATGTGGAAAAATACATACGACAATAATATCTTTCCTATAAATGGATTGGCATTGTGGAAGAAAACAAACAAGATCCCAGTAGGTGTCCCTGTGGAAAAGACTATGCCTGGTCAACCGAAGAAGTATCATTGAAGAAACGATCCGACCGAGTCTCCATCAAAGATTGGAAAAATGACAAGGCATGGACGACACATGACATGCAGTAAGTGCAAGAAAAGTAGATATAATGTTAAAGGATGCCGCAATGAAGAGGCCTTGTTTTATGGTCCAAAACACCCAAGGGGCCGACCAAGAAAGGTAGAGATTCTTTTTGATCCAAATGGATATTGATAACATTTTTAAATAGTTGGACCATTTTTAACTATTTGTTATATGTTGTGTAGGTTCTGCAATGGGAATCAAGTTTCCGTCGACTACCAAAACTGAAATCGGCAACTTAAACTACTGGTGCTTCAGTTGAAGGATCATCCAATCCTACACATTCGAACCAAACAGTTCAATCATCATCTGTTCCTCATCCAAGAAAAAGGCGTCTGACACCTCTTCCAATACCATCTGTCAGTACCTCAGCAAATCTGGAAAATCTGAGGCCACTTCAGACTCCAAGAAGAGTACCTTAGCAAAAAAAGGATTAATGGATTAGAACTCAACTGAATTGTTTTTTGAAGGTTTGAACTTATTTTGGGATAATGATATTTCCTTCCTAGTTGGTATGTGTCCTTTGTATCGTTTTGAGATAACAATCAGGTTCAATCTATTTTGGTATCAATGGGTTATAGATCCCACATGGCATATGTCCTTTGTATCTGTTATCTTTTCCGTATCAAACATATTTTGAAACACTGAAACATTAATACCTAATCTCAATATTAATACCAAACTTCATTACAACAGTACCACAATGATATACTTCGTGGTATTACATATTCATTGGCACAATAACGCATAATAATACACAACCGATACAACTATAACCATGAACATGAGAAAAGCTTTCTGCATATTCGCTTTCCATGCTTCAATCTCTCCTCTGATATTCTCAATCTCATCAACACACATTTTCTTCAACATCGACATGTCCTCATTTCTACTCAACTTCAGAATTTTCTCATTCTATGCTTCCATATCCACCCTCACCACCCTTAGCACCTCACCAAGGACTTCAACTTCTTCAAGTACAACCTCATCAACACATTTAAACATATGAGAACAATTTCCCTAAAACACATTAAGCATAAATTCAGAAACCAAGCTTTTAATCAATAGGTTAATATAAGACATCGACATAATACTTCCTGAGAAGCACAACAATAGAACATCCTTCCTGGATTGTTCTTAATTGTCGATGTAAGTGTCACAATGTTGTCTCCACAAACACACTGCTTTGGTATACCAACATAGTGAGTTCGTTCCCTTCTTCGTGAAGTTCCTAGAGCGTTGCCCATAAAACTCATCTGAAATGCCAAAATTGACAACAAAAAAAAAGCACTGGAGAAAGGAAAACTCATCTAAATGAAACAAACATAAAAACGAAATGTCGAGAAAACTCAAGAAGAGAACGAAGAGAACGAAGAATCATAGTTTAAGAGAATGGTGATATCAAACTCCAGAAAGAAAATGAAGATAAACAATTCGACATATGGAAATAAAAGGGATGAAATTAGGGTTTCTATTTTCCCTCATTCGATTTTTTCTCTTTCAATTTTTAGGGCTTTTATCTTTTGAATCGGTTTAACAAAGTGATAAACCGGGTTAAGGCCGATTTTTGTTTCCAAAAAAAATGCTGATGTGTCAAATTTATAATTAAAATTGCTGACGTGTATATGTTGACATCAACAATACGACAATACCCATCATGAACCCTAAGCAAGTTAAGCCATTTTCCAATGTGAATAACTCACTCATTTGATGTTTGGTTCCAAACAACATCCCCATATCCCTATGATCAATGTGTTCTATCATCATATCAACTAGGGTTTCATCCAAGTCAATAGCATTAAGCACAAAACATCAAACCCATGGAAGAAAACTCATAAACATCACAGATTAAGCATAGATATCCATACAAAAGTGGGGGTCCCTC